ACAGAGCATCATTTTTCAGTTCAAGAGACTCGGTGTGTTTTGATGACAGTGTCATTGAGATAAAAACATGGACTTGCTTTTACTGACTAATAATATTTTTATATGTTTTTGGTATCTTGTCACAAAGATACCACCATATCCTTCTCAAACAAAAGGCTTTATTACTTTTGGCCTTCCTTGCATATAAATATAGCTATTGCTGCCATTCATTTCTTAGAGAAGAGTGAAGAAAAGTGTAAATGCTAAATGAGTTACACAAGACTAACTAGCCTATTATATTTGTCTGCAGCAGAGAAAGAAATCTCCAAGGAAAGCCTTCATTAGTAATTAATGATATTTTAATTTTGTATGGTTCCACTAGAGTCAAAAAAAGCCAGTCAAAGCTGGAGCTGTCAAAAAGGGGAAAGAAATGACGCAATTTTGCTGTTGTTGATGACCAGGAGGACATTACTTTACAGGAAAAAGCATTTTCCCTCTGCCTTTCTGGATTTTTCTGAGGTGAAGTGCTTTGAGCCATGAATCCAACCCTAGTCAAACCTTGAGAATACATAACACATGGTCATAATATTGGCCTGTATTGTGGATTTGAATAGGGTTAGAACCTCTGAACTAGTACAATGAAATGCTGGATGAAGGAACTGCTAAACTAAGAAGTAACAGCTAGAATGAGCCAAGCCTGCATAGCATAAAACTGCTTCATCCCATATTTTGACCATGAGCTTACCTGAAACTTTTAAATCAAAAGTTAGACTGTCATCCCCAATTTTACAGGTGTACGTTCCCTCATCTTCTTTTGTCACAGCTGAAGCCACAAGCTTGTGCACTTTGTCCTTATTTTCCAAACAGAATTTCTTGCTTGCTGTGATTTCTTTGCCATCTTTGTACCACTTAACCATCACGTTGGCTTCAGAGGTCTCAGAAACAAATTCAGCCTGTTTTCCAGCAGTGGCTTTGATAATTCCTCCAGTTTTCTCTTTGTTTATGAAAGTCGCAAGTGCTGAAACAACATGGAGAGAGATGTACTATGGAGAAGGTGTGAAATTTCATTGATCCTAATTCGACAAACAAGAAGCTTGAAAAGATAATGGCATTTTGCCTGTTTTACACAGCCTTTTCTCTTTGATTATACTGCAGAAAGGTATGAGAAAAGATCCTCAAGATCCTCTAGAAAACACGGGATACTGACGCATTTAAACAAACAAATAAAAAAAATCTCCCAGAAAAATCCAAATCCAACAGGACCCTGGTCGACCAGTTTTAACTAGAGCTGAGCTAGCTTCTAAGTTACTTCTTCAGTAACACGTAGCTAAGAGAGGGCAGACCCAGGATCATGTGTGTCAAGTCCTGCTTACAAAGCTGCATTTCCTCTTCACTACTCAGTCAAGCACGTGAAGTAACACCAAGTCCTTCAGGATGTTCCACACTCCAATCTGAGGGAAAATGCTGCTCTGTTTCCCTGAGGTACCCTGTAAGGGCTCTGAAAATTATTTGCTAAGGACAGGAAAGGGCCTTTAATGCCAACGAGTCCAGAGAACCACATACCTTTCACTGAAAGCTCATAGACCATTTTATCCCCTTCACAGACGCACTCGTAAACTCCAGCATCCTCTGTTGCCGTGTTGTGAATTCTCAGGGTGCGCCGCTTGCCCACAATTTGATGCTCATATTTGTCACCGGCCTTGAGCTCTTTCCCATCCTTCAACCATTTCACAGCAGCATCCGCATCGGAGAGCTCGGCCTGGAGCTTGGCCTCCTCACGCAGTCGAGCAGAGACCTTTTCCGTATCTCTGCTCTTGTTGGTAAATCTCACGGCAGCCCCTGTTGGAAGCAAAGATCTTGTTAATGCAAGTTATATCCCACTAACGCCTACCTGATGTGTTGGCTGTAGGCTGCAGGATCTTTAAAAAGGTATTATGTCCTGGAATATAATCATATGACATTAATCATATCCATCATTATTGAACAGCACTTAACCATATTAATATAGCACAACTTTTTCCAGTTCAAGAGACTCAATGTGGTTTTATGTCCAGCGTCACTGAGAAACAAACATGGACATCCTTTTACTGATTAATATTATTTTTTTAAAAAGCATTTGCAGAGATTTTCACAAAGATACAAGCATATCCTTCTAAAACAAAAGCCTGTTTATTATCTTTGGCCTTGCAAAGCAGGCAAATACAACTACTGCTGTCATTTATTAGAGGAAAGCCAAAGCACCCAAGTCTCAATTCTGCACTGAGTTACACAAGACTAACTGGCCCATCATACTTGTCTGAAGCAGAAAAAAAAAATCTCCAAGGAAAACCTTCATTAGTAATTAACAATCCTTTAATTTTGAGTGGTTCTGCCATAGTCAGAAAGGCCAGTCAAACCTGGAGCTATTTGTACTGTGGATTTGAATAGGGTTAGAACCTCTGAAATAGTACAATGAAATGCTGGATGAAGGAACTGCTAATCTAAGAAGTAACAGCTAGAATGAGCCAAGCCTGGATAGCATAAAACTGCTTGATCCCATATTTTGACCATGAACTTACCCGAGACTTTTAAATCAAAAGTTAGACTGTCATCCCCAATTTTACAGGTGTATGTCCCCTCATCTTCTTTTGTCACAGCTGAAGCCACAAGCTTGTGCACTTTGCCCTTATCTTCCAAAGAGAATTTCTTGCTTGCTGTGATTTCTTTGCCATCTTTGTACCACTTAACCATGACGTTGGCTTCAGAGGTCTCAGAAACAAATTCAGCCTGTTTCCCAGCAGTAACTTTGACAATTCCTCCAGTTTTCTCTTTGTTTATGAAAGTAGCAAGTGCTGAAATTAAATATGGACACACAGTACTTGTAAGAAATGGTACACACATGAATATATCCACTTATAACTGTATTACATAATGATTTATAGCATCACCAAAAAATGCACATTTGATTATGGATATAATTGCTATGTTTTAGAGCAGAAGTTCAAAATTTTCAGGCTTTATAAACCTTATACCTAGTCATCATATGTTTCAATGCCAAAGGAAATGCAGCATACATTATGCTGAACCAAGGGGAGATGGATTACTAGGCAAAGGGGGTTTTAAGAAAAAAAGCTGAAATAGGGATGAGGAAAGTAAGTTTAACTCCCTCTTAGAATTCCATCAGAATTAGATATTTATTTTTCAATAATCATTCTTTTAACAGCACTCCCTTTACCACTGCTGGATATCAGCCAAGTCCATCCAAAAGTAGTTGTTGGCTTTCACTGTGGCTACCGTCACAAGCAATTACACTCCATGATCTGAGCGACCTAAGTGTGATACTCTCTATCCTGCAAGCTGGAGGCTCAGAAAGTGCTACTATCAATGCTACCCTGGTGCAGGCAAGAAGAAAAAAGAAAATCTCAGTCTCCTCCCCTATGTTCCCCAAATGGAGGGCTGAGAAACACCCAGGAAGCACAAAGAGAAGGGAATGACTTTAGGGTGCCATCAAGGGCTTCTCTTGTGTTGGCCTTCGTAACTCCATTCAATCAGAGCAGGTAGGTACATTTATTGTTGTCATTTCTTAAATGACAGCTAAGAAACCCAAGTCTCAATGCTGCACTGAGTTAAACAAGTATGATAGTATACCTATCATACAGCAGATAAAAAAAAAAATCTCCAAGAAAAGCCTTCCTTAGTAATTAATGACCCTTTAATTTTGAATGGTTCCACTAGAGTCAAAAAGGCCGGTCAAACCTGAAGCTGTCAAAAAGGGGAAAGAAATGACACAACTTTCCTGATGTTGGTGACAAGGAGGACATTACTTTGTGGAAGGAAGAATTTGTCCTTGTCCTTGATGATTTTTCTGAGGTGAGGTGCTTTAAGTCGTGAATTCATAGTCAAAGCTTGAGCTAATCTGAATACATAACACCATGGTTATAATATTTGCCTGTATTGTGGATTTGAATAGTGCTATAGACTCTGAAATAATACTATGCAATGCTGGACGAAGGAACTGCTAATCTAACAAGTAACACCTAGAATGAGCCAATCCTGGAAAGTCTAATACTACTTCATCCCACATTTTGACCATGAGCTTACCTGAAACTTTTAAATCAAAAGTAAGGGTGTCATCCCCAATTTTACAGGTGTACGTTCCCTCATCTTCTTTTGTCACAGATGAAGCCACAAGCTTGTGCACTTTGCCCTTATCTTCCACAGAGAATTTCTTGCTTGTTGTGATTTCTTTGCCATCTTTGTACCACTTAACCATGACGTTGGCTTCAGAGGTCTCAGAAACAAATTCAGCCTGTTTCCCAGCGGTGGCTTTGATAATTCCTCCAGTTTTCTCTTTGTTTGTGAATGTTGCAAGTGCTGAAATAAAATACAGAGCTGTACTACAGAGAAGGTGTGAAATTGCATAGGCCATAATTCAAGAAACAAGAAGGATTAAAAGATAATGGCATTTTCTGTTTTATACAACCTTTTCTCTTTGAATACACAGCAAAAAGAAATGAGAAAAGATACTCAATATCCTCTAGAAAACTCTTCAATTTGAGTGAAAATGCTGCTCTGTTTCACTGAGGTGCCCTGTAAGGGCTTTGAAAACTACTTGCCAAGGACAGGAAAGAGCCTTTAATGCCAACGAGTCCAGAGAACCACATACCTTTCACTGAAAGCTCATAGACCATTTTATCCCCTTCACAGACGCACTCATAAACTCCAGCATCCTCTGTTGCCGTGTTGTGAATTCTCAGGGTGCGCCGCTTGCCCACAATTTGATGCTCATATTTGTCACCGGCCTTGAGCTCTTTCCCATCCTTCAACCATTTCACAGCAGCATCCGCATCGGAGAGCTCGGCCTGGAGCTTGGCCTCCTCACGCAGTCGAGCAGAGACCTTTTCCGTATCTCTGCTCTTGTTGGTAAATCTCACGGCAGCCCCTGTTGGAAGCAAAGATCTTGTTAATGCAAGTTATACCAGACTAATGCCTACCTGATGTGCTGGCTGTAGGCTGCGGGATCTTTAAAAAGATATTATGTCCTGGAATATAATCATAGGACATTAATCATACCCATGATTAATGAATGGCCCATTATCATATAAATACAGAGCATCATTTTTCAGTTCAAGAGACTTGGTGTGTTTTGATGACAGTGTCATTGAGATCCAAACATGGACTTGCTTTTACTGACTAATAATATTTTTATATGTTTTTGGTATCTTGTCACAAAGATACCACCATATCCTTCTCAAACAAAAGGCTTTATTACTTTTGGCCTTCCTTGCATATAAATATAGCTATTGCTGCCATTCATTTCTTAGAGAAAAGTGAAGAAAAGTGTAAATGCTAAATGAGTTACACAAGACTAGCCTATTATATTTGTCTGCAGCAGAGAAAGAAATCTCCAAGGAAAGCCTTCATTAGTAATTAATGATATTTTAATTTTGTATGGTTCCACTAGAGTCAAAAAAAGCCAGTCAAAGCTGGAGCTGTCAAAAAGGGGAAAGAAATGACGCAATTTTGCTGTTGTTGATGACCAGGAGGACATTACTTTACAGGAGAAAGCATTTTCCCTCTGCCTTTCTGGATTTTTCTGAGGTGAAGTGCTTTGAGCCATGAATCCAACCCTAGTCAAACCTTGAGAATACATAACACATGGTCATAATATTGGCCTGTATTGTGGATTTGAATAGGGTTAGAACCTCTGAACTAGTACAATGAAATGCTGGATGAAGGACCTGCTAATCTAAGAAGTAACAGCTAGAATGAGCCAAGCCTGGATAGCATAAAACTGCTTCATCCCATATTTTGACCATGATCTTACCTGAGACTTTTAAATCAAAAGTAAGAGTGTCATCCCCAATTTTACAGGTGTAAGTTCCCTCATCTTCTTTTGTCACAGCTGAAGCCACAAGCTTATGCACTTTGCCCTTATTTTCCAAACAGAATTTCTTGCTTGCTGTGATTTCTTTGCCATCTTTGTACCACTTAACCATGACGTTGGCTTCAGAGGTCTCAGAAACAAATTCAGCCTGTTTCCCAGCAGTAACTTTGATAATTCCTCCAGTTTTCTCTTTGTTTATGAAAGTAGCAAGTGCTGAAATAAAATATGGACATGCATTAATTGTAAGGAATTTTTTGGACAGGAATAAATACATACAATTACATACATACATATATATATATATATATGTATATATATATGATAAGCTTGCCAAGAACAAGCATGAAGAAAATCTCAATCCCAAATATTCCCCAATTCTAGGACTGAGAATTATGCAGCAAGCAAAAAGGGAAGGGAATGACTTGGTGATGCCATCAAGGGCCTCTCTAGCGTTGGTCCTCATCACTCCCTTCGATCATCACCCCAATAGAGACAGAAACTTGCCTTGTGTATCCCTTAACCTCTCTAGGTTTCTCCCTGATCTGATTTCTAGGGTCCACTGGGTCTGCTAGAGCAATTTCTAGCAGCAAACAACTCACACGTGACCATTTAACCCAATGAAGCCCCATTTCTGACCAGTGTTTGGGTCATGGGACCCATTTCCAGTGGTTCCTCTGCTGATTCAGAACAGGGCAGTTTACAGTGCAGCCCTTCTCTCTTTCAGTGGGGCAAGAGCATAGTCTTTCTCCTCTACCTAGCTCAGGAAGCCTGCAGAGCCTGAGTTTTCATGAGATTTCTATTTGGAAAAAAGGAAGAAGTTTCATTCCTGCACCTTTCACTTCCTTGGGAAAACAGAGCATGAAACCCAGCCACGGCAATCAAAGAAATTTCTCAGCAGTCCTTTTTCAACACATGAGGTCGTGCATGAGATGACACGTGGCACGTGAAGTCTCACAGCAGAAGGAGACAAGTGGCAAGGGCGCTTTCCAGCAGAGCTCCTTTGGGCACAAGGCCCAGCAAGGGACACAGCTCTGACTGTGAAAGAGACAGTGGCCTCTCGCCAGCCATGTGAAGCCCATGTGTCAAACACAGCTGACCTAAAGATCAAACGATTCACCAGCTAACTGTGCCTGATTTATAGGAAGAGCAGAAAAAAATAACGTGGTGATGTTGAAATGTGAAATCTTGGGAGGGCAGGGTGGTGGAAATAGTTCTGTAAGCCTCCTACGCCAAGTAGGGGATTTCTCAAAGCTGATTTTATAGGAATCAAGCTACTACCAGCAGATAATTAAGATGCTGCTTGCCAATAGTGATTCTGAAATAACACAACTGATGAATGAATTTATTATTATATCAGAGTGAAAAAAAACTGCTTGCTAAGGACACAAAAAGGTCTTTAATGCCAAAAAGTCCAGAGAACCACATACCCTTCACTGAAACCTCATAGACCATTTTATCCCCTTCACAGACGCACTCGTAAACTCCAGCATCCTCTGTTGCCGTGTTGTGAATTCTCAGGGTGCGTTGCTTGCCCACGATTTGATGCTCATATTTGTCACCGGCCTTGAGCTCTTTCCCATCCTTCAACCATTTCACAGCAGCATCCGCATCGGAGAGCTCGGCCTGGAGCTTGGCCTCCTCACGCAGTCGAGCAGAGACCTTTTCCGTATCTCTGCTCTTGTTGGTAAATCTCACGGCAGCCCCTGTCAGGAGCAAAGGCCTTGTTAATGCAAATTATACCAGACTAGTGCCTGCCTGATGCGTTGGCTATAGGCTGCGGGATCTTTGAAGGAGTATTAGATCCTGCCCTATAATCATATGTCATTAATCATGCCCAGGATTAATGAACAGCCGAGATAAACCTGGAGTTGTCAAAAATGGTAAATAAATGACATGTCTTTGCTGGCCTCAGTGACAAGGAGGACATTATTTTGAAGGAAGCATCGTCTTTTTATCGTGTTGATTTTTAGGAGGTGAGGTGTTTTGAGTCGTGAAGCCAAACCTAGTCAAACCGTGAGCAGATCTGAACATATAACACCATGGTTATAATATTTGCCTGTATTGTGGATATGAATGCAGGTAGAGTCTCTGAAATAGTACCATGATGTGCTGGACAAAGGAACTGCTAATCTAAGAAGTAACAGCTAGAATGAGCCAAGCCTGGATAGCGTAAAACAGCTTCATTCCATATTTTGACTATGAGCTTACCTGAGACTTTTAAATCGAAAGTAAGAGTGTCATCCCCGATTTTACAGGTGTACGTCCCCTCATCTTCTTTTGTCACAGATAAAGCCACAAGCTTGTGCACTTTGCCCTTATCTTCCACAGAGAATTTCTTGCTTGCTGTGATTTCTTTGCCATCTTTGTACCACTTAACCATGACGTTGGCTTCAGAGGTCTCAGAAACAAATTCAGCCTGTTTTCCAGCGGTGGCTTTGATTATTCCTCCACTTTTCTCTTTGTTTATGAAAGTTACAAGAGCTGAAACAAAATACAGACACAGCTGTACTACAGAGAATCAGGAAATTGCATAAGCCATAATTCAAGAAGCAAGAAGAATTAAAAGATAATGGCATTTTCTATTTTATACAACCTTTTCTCTTTGAATACACAGCAAAAAGAAATGAGAAAAGATACTCTACATCCTCTAGAAAAGTCTTCAATTTGAGGGAAAATGTAGCTCTGTTTCACTGAGGTGCCCTGAAAGGGCTCTGAAAATTATTTGCTAAGGACAAGAAAAGGCTTTTAATGCCAAGGAGTCCAGAGAACCACATACCTTTCACTGAAAGCTCATAGACCATTTTATCCCCTTCACAGACGCACTCGTAAACTCCAACATCCTCTGTTGCCGTGTTGTGAATTCTCAGGGGGCGCCGCTTGCCCACAATTTGATGCTCATATTTGTCACCGGCCTTGAGCTCCTTCCCATCCTTCAGCCATTTCACAGCAGCATCCGCATCTGAGAGCTCGGCCTGGAGCTTGGCCTCCTCACGCAGTCGAGCAGAGACCTTTTCCGTATCTCTGCTCTTGTTGGTAAATCTCACGGCAGCCCCTGTCAGGAGCAAAGCCCTTGTTAACACAAGTTAGGTTGCATTAACGGCTGTAGGCTGCAGGATCTTTGAAAAAGTATTAGGTCTTGGCATATAATCATATGAAATTAGTCATATCCATCATTACTGAACAGCCCATGATCATATTAATATAGCACAACTTTTTCTGGCTCAAGAGACTCAATGCGGTTTTATGGCCAGTGTGACTGAGACACAAACATAGACACCCTTTTACTGTTTACTAATATTTTTAAAACACTTGCAGGGATTCTGAGCCAGTTACAAGCAAATCCTTCTAGAACAAATGCCTATTTGATACCTCTGGCCTTGCAAAGCAGGTAAATACAGTTATTGCTATCATTTCCTCCAGGAAAGCCAAGGCACCCAGGTCTCAATACCGCACAGAGGTACACAAGACTTGCCTATCATACTTGTCTGAAAAAATCTCCAAGGAAAACCTTCATTAGCAATTAATGATCCTCTAATTTTGAACGGCTCCACTAGGGTTAGAAAGACCAATCACATGTGGAGCTGAAATTACCAGTCTAAGGTCACACATAAACTTCATGGTAGATCTGGTGACAGAATCCACTGATCAATACCCCAGAAATTATTTTGATGTTGTTAAGCAGTCCTGACACAGAGCAACTGGGTAAGCAGCTCTCTCTGAACATCACCCTGTCATGGGAAGGTTATCACCAGGACCATGCTAATTCACAGCATGTGATTTTTGGGTAGTGTTGACTGCATGCAAGGAAGGCATCCAGCTATGAGTGTAATCATCATGTCACAGCAACCACCCCTTTACTGGAAGAAGGGCAGAGATCAAAGTAAATACCTCTCACTCTCATGTTGGTGCTCGTGTCGACATTACTGGCGACAAATTTAACTTCTGCTCCGTCATCATTCTTGGTGACATTCTTTATGATCAATGTGTGAGTAGTTTGGGTCTTCTTAATGATACAGGTCTTGCTCTCCTGTAAGACTTTACCATTAAGGTACCAAGTGCCAGAACATGTCGTTGTAAGGTCAACAGTAAATGTGGCATCCCCTCCAGGTACAACTTCTGCAGTTGTCAACGGGGTTTTCACAGCCACGATGGGTGCTGGAGAAGAACAATAACACGTTATATGTCCCATAGTCCCAGGACAATGTTCTCAGGAGTTAAATGGGGAATGATTAAAAAAAGAAATCCTTCAGCACTTATAGCATTTGTATGGAATGAAAGCAATATACACTCAACAGAATTTGATTTCTGCAGGTACATGTAACTGAATTCTGGTGTTAGTGTAACTCCTTTTTCTGCAGGGACAAAACAATGGGTACCTTTTAGTTAAAAAGGGTACATTTTAGGTTTTTCCTTAGATTTTTAAAGACATAGCAAGTCTGAACCACCTAGGATCCGTAGCAAATTTGCTATTTATTTATTAAGCAGTAGTATTCTATTTATGAAGAGTCCTCAGGAGGTCACCCAGCCCACTACATAGTCACTAGAGAAGTGACTAGAGAAATGTACCCATTTTAACTAAAATGTACCCATTGTAACCCCAAAAGTACCCCACTCAGCATGACCAAGCCTAAGCAAATATTTTCCATGCAGTGAATTAAGGGAAAAAACAATTACACTGCACGCAGTGATTATATCTGCACAGGGGCATCCTCAAGATAAGGCATAATCCCCATTTTCTCTTCTAGAAACTCTGTGATTAAAAACACTGAAACTTGGTTCTCCTGACAGGAAAATCACCACAAAAATATTCTCTAGCTGCACCCTCAGTACATCGTTTATATACTGAAGATTATATCGCTATGTGTATTCTTCTCCTTCCATTCCAGTTTTGGAAGAAGCACTTACAAGTTTAAGATTCATTGCAAAGTACTCCACCTTTCACACAGTCTGGAGGTGACAGACTGGAGCATCCTCATGGCCTTTACACCCACCCTGCATCCCTTCTGCTGCGCATGGGCAGTGGTTGAAATGGGACAGAAGATCTACCAGTAAAGGAGATTTTTGTTCACTATTGCTCTACCCTCCTCATTATCATGGTCATATCTCTAAAGGGCTGGCATGGCAGATCATCACGGATCCGTCCATGTTCAGGAGGCGTTGTGCTCACCAAGGTGCATGCTTCCCGGGAATTCCAGATACGGGCTCTGTCCATACGCGTTGACTGCGGATACCCGGAATTGATAATCAGCTTCTTCTGACAGGTCGCTCATCGTGAACTCCAGGGCAGGTACAGGAGACTCGTGACACCTCACCCAGGCGAAGCCCGTTAGCTTCTTGCGCTCCACTACGTAGCCATCGATTGGAAGGGGACGGTCTATCTTTGGAGGGGACCACGCTAGCGTCACTGAGGTTTCTGTTTTATTTTTCACCACAGGGTCGACTGGGGGTTGTGTGGGAGGTTTTTTAGGAGCTGCACAGAATTAAATAAAATGGGACAAGAAATTTGCATCAGAGTTGAAAATCCACTGGAACTCATTGAGAAAAAAAAAATCATCTGCGCTTGAATGGGTCTAAAGGACATTTGAGGTTAGTAAAACTCAGGAAAACCTTGGGGTAAGATGGAAAAACAAAAAAGTCCTAAAATCCCTAAAAGAGATTTCCGGATTGCATTATATCCCTTACATAGAAGTACGATATTCTTACTAACTAAATATATGAGATTCTTACACAACTTTACACATAGTGCTTTATGCATTGATGTGGCATCCTGTGCAGCAATATAAATCTACTCCCTAAAAGGTACCCAGTGTCTAGAGTCCATCTCCTGGCCTCCATCCATTTGCTATCAAGAACTTGCTCCAAAAGTATGCTGGAACATTTCAGCCCAGGTCCTCAACAGGTTTAAACATAGGCCAATATACAATGTGGACATTTCAGAGATGCAAGATAGACATGAATGAGTGATTTATGGGTCACACTCTTTTATGGACGGCTCAGTTGCTTGTCACACAGGCTTGGTCTTTCTCTGCAACCAATTTTACTTGAAAAAAATCTCTCCTCTGTCTTGCTTCTCAATTTTATGTCATCTCCAAAGGCCCTTTGCAGCTATGTCTCCCAAGAATGACAGCTGCCCCACACAGAACTGGGGATCCCTGTCAGGAAAGACATTTTTTAGTGATTTATAGAGAGCCAGCTTGCTGACAATCAAGGACATCCACCTATTCCGTGGTACCTGAAGTCATATAAGACACAACTATTTCTGAAGTTAATTGCATAACTAAGATTTATGTTCACTTCCTCTGACTATTCTTCAGTTCTTCAGAGAAGGGTAAAACCCCATGGAAGTTATTCACTCTGAGATGCTGCTGATAAGGGCAAGAGGCTATGAATTATCTGGTATGTTCCAGTCACAGATATACTGGCACAAAAAATGAAAAATATCATTGTTTTTAAGTTTGGCAATCTGAACATCAGATGCTTGGTGTAAGCCAATCACACAGAAATCCTCTATAATCTGTGGAGAAAAGCACTCTCAGGAGAAATTCATCCCAGCTTAAAGGAGGTGTGTGAGGCAGGTGAAACGAATGGCACATTGCAGATACCCAGAAATTCCTTGACTTTAGAGGGATCTGTGTGATGAGCCTACAGTAAAAGCCAAGGTCCAAGACAACTGCTCTGCTCTGTGTCTCAATTTGCCCATCTGTAAAACGACCAAATAGACAATGCAAGGTATGGAGTCAACAAATATTAATATTGCTTGCTTCATAAACGCTATTAGATCTGCCAACACCAGCTAATCAAAATTGATGCGAACATAGTACATGGGATTCTTCAAGGAGCTAATCATGCACACCTGAAGTGTAAAAATAGGAAATCTCATCGTGATACACTTCTCCATTACGTAAGCAAAGACCTAATTTGGGGTGCACAGTTACTGCTGGTCAGAGCTAGATGCCAAAGGTCCCGCTAGTGGAGCATTAAGCTGAATACTAGACGCTGGAATCAAATCTCCTGACCTTACCATCAGCAAATGTAATGTAATATTTTGTTCAGAAATGCCTGCATATGGGAAGGGAGCTGCTTAACTTTTTTCCAGTTACATGAATCAGCTCCAGCTTCAGAACTTGAACAGCAGAGTCAGAAGTCTGACTGAGACTTTGTCTGTCCTCCCCAACACAGAGTGCTGGAAGGAATGTGACCGCTTTCCAAATACCTTAGAGACTGGCACAAGTTTGATTTTTCCTTTTTCCTTTTCTCCTCTGGTTAATATTTGTAGCTTAATAGCACTGGAACGCCCCAACCAAGCTGAGATCACGTAGTAGTAATGTACCTCTATCTCCTTGTAATTACTCAGTGGTAATAAATAAGTCAGAGGTGGTGGTGGGAGGAAAGATGACAAAAACACTGTAGTTGGTGACTTCTCTAAAATGCAGATAGGGATGGCAGCAGAGATAGAAGCCAAATGTAAGGGTAAGCACTCTCTCTTAGGAAGCAGCTTCTGCCTGGGAAATGCAGTAACATCAAAATAGGAACAATTCAGTATAAATTAGGACACGAAATGAAATTTTGGTGAAATTGCCCTGTCTCAACTACACTGCACCTGCTGCTACAGCTAGTCAACTGAGACCCTTGCTCTGATCAGATTTGTCAGCTGAAGGAATTCTTCAGCCTGAGTGCAATATCAATGTTCTCAGCTAGAGAAGCCAAAGGTCTCATTTTTCAATATAAATGCATCAACAGGGAACTGTCCACACTTTCATGTTAAAAAAAGAAAAGAAATGGCATGGCTTTGCTGGTTTTGGTGACAAGGAAAAAATTACTTTGTAGGAAGAAGCATCTTTCCTTTGTCTCGCAGGTTTTTTATTTTTTTGCAAAGCAAGCAGCCTTAGAAGCTAAAAATCTAAGCGAAATGTTTCAAGCTTGTTAAACGCTTTACTGCACCTGGAATGTGTAGTGTGCATCTGTGTAGAGGTCCTTTTACAGAGTTTTATTTTTATTTTTATTTGCTACAATGAGCTTCACCCTCCCCACAACACTTTGGGGCCTTCTCTACTTCCCACTAAGAGTCAACACACTCATCAGAGACCCTCGTATCTCCCAATGCTCAGAGCCTAGCAAAGGAACTGAGTGTTGGCCAACTCTTGCCTCCAAATCCTCTATGAAGACATTGAAAATTGAGAAGTCTCTGTTTTCTGGAAAAAGCATTACTCCTACGACAAGAAATGCTAAATGCCCCTCAGAGAACCTGATGCTTGTGGAAAATGGAGCTTGTCTTATACATTGATGAAGGCATTAAGGAAATTCATGCTGTTCTGTGCGCAACAAAGAAGGACAACTGGAGTGTATAACTTACAAACTGTCTTCTAGGCAACTCCTAGTGGAAAGAAGTCCCATAATCCATATTCTTAGTTACCATTTTACACTCTTATCAGACAAGTTCAGAGAAAACACACATATAGGCTATGCTCTTCCCCAGAACTTGTCTTCTGTCTTTTCTCTCTAATATTCCATAAAGCTCCCTTTGAGGTAGTGAGCAGACACGGGACTTTCCGCTGTCTTTGGCCAACGCACAACTTACCGTGGCAGTATTTAGAGGGAACACTGCTAACATGGGAGCACCTGCTTGCTGGGGAACACACAACAGCAAGGCTGAATAAAAGCGGAGCTTACTAGTCACAGTGAACTGGGTGGAAGTTCTGCTTTCATCTGCCAGGAAGGCAATCTCGCCAGCATCTTCCTTCTTGCACTCCCGGATGATCATGGTGTGTTGCTTGCCGGAGCACGTGATGGTGATTCGATCGCTGGGTTGCACTTCTTCCTTATTCTTCAGCCAGCGGATCTTCTGGCATTCACTGTCCAGCTCCACACAGAAGACGGCTGTGTCGTTTACGTGGACTGCAGTCTTTCGTGGAAGTTTCTTAATGATGTTCCCTTTAAGTGAAGAACCAATTATGAGCAGCAAATAGCAGATATAGACGACTAAAATCTCTACTAACAAGGGACCAGCCAGAATACAACAGAGCTAACCAACTGCTCTCACCTAATTAAAGCATTATAGACACTATGCAGACATCCCTAAATTAAATTATAGACTCCTTGTTACACAGTAAGTCAGAATAGGTAGTGTCACTGATGTGTTTTTGCCTTCAAAGAGAGAAAAACAATCTTTTATTTGATTATGGTCTCCTATGTTTCTAGTCTAACATGCAGCATCTTCTGTTACATAAATATAAGGTATGTGGTCTTGGCAAGAACAGACATTGAGGTGGCTTTTGTCTGCATATCTGGGAATTTACAGGAAAACTTTGCTCAAGCAGGTCAGCCTTAAACCAGACAGGTCTCAGGAATTTGTCTCCATCAAATGACCAGTACGTTACATAAACAAGAGTCCAAACATACTGATCTTCTGACATAGTATAGAAAATACATTAAGAACCCCAGAGATTTCTTTTTAGAGCAAATCCAGAAATTTGCATGGAATGAACGTCACTTACTGGTGGCCTTACCAAGTTATCCAGGTGACTTACAAGAATAGCCTCAAAGTTACAAAATGTGGCCATATCCACATAGGTTCGGGTAGAGAATAAGGAGATCATCTCTCCAAACCAGAATGCTCTCAAATAACAAAGCAATGCTATGACCTTGGAAAGAAAAGACCCCTTGCAAGACCCACATGAGATCTGTTTGCGTTCAAGGTCACCTATCTTGTATTTATTTAACACAAGATATTGAATGTTAGACCAGAAACATAGGTGACCATAGCTCAGTACAAAGCTGTGTTGCACATGTAAATGGATATTGCTGTATGGCTGCAAGTGTTTTAATGTAAGCGTCATTATTTTAGCCACAGGTGGGTCCCTCTAAAAGCCATTAGACCACAGCGCTGAGCGTGACTTATGTTGGCTTCATCTCTGAAGTGAGCTCCTCATGTGGACTGAAATTTGACATTTCAGAGCCAGGTCTTATTCAATAAAAAGAAAAGAAGAAAATCAAAGCAGCAAAGCTGGGAATGACTAAATTCAGAGAAATAAAACAAGTTTCTAAGGAAATCTGCCCTCACAGATAGGGCCCTTCATTCAAGGTTGGCTTTGGGCCACAAGGTTGCACCTTCCTACATTGCAGGTGACTGTGTAGTCCCCTCTGAGTCCCTAGAAAGTCTGTGCTCATCCTCTCTTAAGCTTGGCTCTGTGTCTGCTCCTTGCTGCCCTCCGTGGTGTCCCCGTCCCTGCAGCACCATGGGGCTGTGCATGGGGCCAAGCTCTCACATTATCCCTATCCCACCCTGAGCTCTCGAACCTTCTCCCCAGGGCAGGCACAAGGCTCCCAAGGGAAGGTTCTACCTCCTTTCCCTCCTGAGGGCTCCACCTGACTCAGTCACTCTCTTTTTAATGGAACATGCTCTAGTATCATAACACAAACAAGTAAAACAAATACCATCTGTCCTACTGGGGACAAACTGGCCTACAGTATCTGGCTGGCTTAATCCTGGCAGAGCTGTGACAAAATGATGTCTGTCTGCACGCTTTGGGATAAATTTCCTGTATGCCTTTTCTCAAGTACGCTCTTGTCTGCTTGCTAATGGTAAAAAAAAAAGATTTTAAAAATGTACATATCAAGCATGCACAACTCCCAGTTATCTTGCACCAATTTATGTAGTGGAGAACTTCTGGTTTCAGTGGCAGTAAAGCCAGGCCTTAAATGAGACAAAACAAATGCGATCCTGAGCTGTTGCTGCAGCTGTAGAGGAGGATGTGGAACTACATCCACATAATGCGCCAACTCTTCATCTTTCCAGACTCCAGAGCACAGCTCCTGATGTCAGGGAACATGGATCTTATTTCCAAAGAAATCACACTCTTGCTGACTACAGTCTGCACCACACACCAGACCTTAAAAGGCAGATGTTAAGCCAACTTCCCAGGACACTTAGAACCACTGCCAGACAAGATTTACCACTGTGTTTGCAAGACACCTGACAAGATCTTCACGAGGGCTCACCAGGGGATATATTTGGTGCTTGGGATCATGTTAAATAAAAGCCACAATGCGAGGTTACAGCTCAAAAGTTTTGCTTTCCAGTAAGCCCCTCTAAGCACAGAGCTCCCCTGCATTGTACATTTGCATCCATCGTGCAGCAACACAATCTCTTCCATCTCTATGACCCTGTATCCCAGATGCATCTTGCCATTAAATCCCAGGGAGCTCCTGACCAGCCACCTGGAGCTCACATGAATTTTAGTGCAAGACCTGGTGTATCTGCAGTAGCAAGACTCCTTCTTACCTTGGACAGACAACTCTGCTATTGTCCTGCTCCCCTCCTTCATCTCGCAGATATAGACAGCGTCATCATCTGTGGTGACATCCTGGACAGTGAGCCGGCGATACGTGCCCTCTTCTTCAATGTTGTATTTCTTACTCTGCTGGAGTTTGGTTTCTTCCTTGAACCAGGTTGTCTCTGTACTAGCAACAGGCACCTCACATTGGAAGGTTGCAGATTCCTTCTCCTGAACTTCAAGATCCTTAAGTTTTTCTTTGAAGGGTATCAAGGGTTCTTAAGAGGACAAAAAAGGGAGAAATAAGAATTTGTGATAGTCTGGGGTAAGATGTGTGCAAATAAATAACTTGGTAGAAAAAAACTAACACTCCTTATTAATTATGTTGATTTGTATTAGGACACCATCCACACCCAGAATGGAGAACTTCTTCAGTTGTTTTCTGCTCTCATGCAAGAAAGGAGCCATTCTCGCCCATAAAATCTTAGACCCCACCAGAATTATTTTACTTGTCTGTAAGTGAACAAGTGTCAACCTGAGCTGTGTTACTTGCAAACAGCACCACACAGAGGTGTTAGCTCTAATCCAAAGAAACATGAATGCGTTGATGCATCATGACGTTATCAAACTCTGCTCTCCTGGTTGGCTTGTTCTCTAGAGCGAAATTCTCTGCGTTGCACTCTGTCCCATAGGCCAACAGGATGGAAGGCAGAAACCATCCAGCCTGACCCTCTGTGTAGCACAAGTCTCTTCAGCATTAAAGTCTTTATTAAGATGAGAGTCTTTGTGTGGGTAAAGAGCAAACAAGCTAGACTTAGGAAGAAGAAAGAGGGAAGCCATTCTGGGGAAGCACGAGCACTTGAGGTAGTCAGTTGTTACAAGAACCAATGTTTTACGGGTCTGGTAGCAGAAATGAGCTTAGTGGAAGGAGCTGAAAGGGCATAGAAAGACAAGAGGAAGCTGCACACACAAGAAGGACATGGGGGAAGGCACAGAAGTATCTGATGGAGAAGTTTTTTGTACCCCCCAAAAGCACCAAATTCCCTGGATCAGATTTGTCAATGACAATAAAATAATAATAATAAATTAATAAATGAAAGAGAGAAAAAGCCCATGTCACCCACCTGCCACTTCTTTCTTTTGGCAACTGGGCTGCACTGCTGCAGCTCAGGGAGAAACCAGAGTGAAGATCAAACAGGTGAAACAGCTGCATGGCAGCAATGGAGGACATTTTACGAAGAGAATAATATAGATATCATTTAAATCCTGTGACAGCTGAGCTATGAAATCATCCTGATAGCCCAGCACTGACACAGAGAAGGAAGAATGGAACCAAGGAGGACAGCTCCTGCTCACAGCCATGGGAGAGTCAGGCAGTGCACCTGCATTAGGCAGTGCTAACACACCACTGCTCAACGCCCGGTGTGAGATCATGTCCTGACACGTGTCCTTCATCTTCTAACAGCTATTACGCCAATTTTCAGTCTTCTGACTCCCTTCTCACTCACTCCCTCAAGCAGATAATTTCACCAGCTTGCAACGGTTTGTAATGCTAGCCATCAGCCTAAATGTCAGATGGAAGTGGATTTTACATTTCTGATTCCATGTTTGCATTGACACATCCCACTCAGAGTCACCCTGCTTTAGAGTCTGGAGAAACACAAATCAAAACCCTCAGATATCCTAGCTCTAAGCTTTGGTCGTCAGGAATCTCCACTTTGTAGAATTTAAAGCTGTGTAGGGAGTACGTTGCTATTGAAGAAAGCAGAGGATGCACAAAACTGCCCTTAGTTCTGGGAAAGGTCTGATGTGCACGCAACTGCCCTGACAGGCAGCCAGAATCTGACAGGCACCAGCAGGCAGCACTGCTATTTGCCCTCCCTGTTGTTATCCAGAGATTAAAACCTGTCTGGGAACCTGTAAAATACCATTGGAGCAAGTGTGTGGCTCCAAATGAGTGCCTGCTGTTAACCTATCTTGTCGATTTGGTTATTTTGTTGAAAAGGTTCTGCTTGAATGTGCCTCATTAAAGTCTTACCTAAAAAACATCTTCAGTTACAGTAACACAGATGTGCTCTGACCTCCCTTGGTACATTAATTTTCTTCTTCTCTCTATCCAACATGCAGGCTGGACTCCCGCAATCCTATATATCACCTCTGGAAACACGTTATGTATTCAGAGGAAATGAAGTGATGCAACTCTCATGACACAGGACCAAGAAAGAGGATGAGACCAAGAAAGCATTTAACAGAAGGATGCCAGCCTGGGGGAACTGGGTATAACAGTGATGTATGAGGTACAAGGGAATCTGGAGCAGACTACGACACACCAAAGGGCTGGAAGGAAATAAGAGATGCGCAGGAGGGGCACACGAGCATGCTCTGTGTTTGAAGCAATCAGTCACCTCATTAACCCCTGCCCCTTTGCAGCCACTGAAAAGTATCTGAAGTAAACAAAACAAAAGTGTACAAACACAGAAGCAAGTCAAGGGAAGATCTACAAAAGGTCGCTGGTTGATCTTCCTTGTTAATAGACTAATACACACAGTGTGAATGTATAACCATATAATATTTACATGAAAAATAGCTGGGGCCTACTGGCTTTTCAGCTTAAAGATGATCCACATTACTAGATAAATGCAAAAGCAAACAAATGTACACATTCCCCCAGTGACCCAAATGGTGAGTTGAACACCACTCTTTTAACCCACGTTAGTCTGTAGCTTCTCTTATCTTGACAAATTCTCTAATGTAGGCATACTCAGTTACCTATTTTTGCAGCACCCAGCACAATAGGCATGCTGGTCTGTGGCTGGAATTAATGTATTGCAAAGTTCCCATTCATAAAGGGGTTGGAAATGATACGGAAATATTCTGTGCTATAACTAATGTAGGCACACCAAGAAGAGTTCCTGCAGATAACTACGTTTGATCCATCATATCCCATAACTATTGATTGTTCATATCTAAATTAATCATGTATTATGTATTTGCATCATAATCATAAATAGGATCTCATGTTAAGTATATGCCAGAGAAGATAACACCATTTGGCTTCCTACTGTTTTCCTCATTGTTCACAATTCTCCTAACATCTGAAAATATCTTCAGAAGATAAGCAAAAAGTGCATTCAGACGAGGTTACATGATATAATTCTCAGATAAAAAGTGCAACACTATGTTTTTTTCTAATCACTCCACACCAAGCATTTGTAGAATCAGGTATTTCCATGAAATACCTGAATATCAGAGGTTTCAGCTGCGGTGGCAATTCTTATCTGTTTTCTAACAGCCAGGCTCCTGTACACAACCTATTTTTAAAAGCTCACAGTGCCCCAGTAGTTCACTTAAATTCATCTCTAGTATCATTTCTTTTGTTAAATGGTGAGTTCTCTGCAATTTAACTGTACACATTTTCCTACTGATGTGATTTTAGCCAAAGCAGAAATGCATATTAAGGCATATAATGAAGCTGGGTAATGTAATCCCTCAAGAAGCACTTGAAATATGAGAGATCTACAAAAACCTGCCAATTTTGAAAAATGTGACATGGAAATAGCAAAGCAAAACAAAACCCAGAACCAGCATAGAGCAGGAAAAGTTCACAGAGTCAGTGGGAACCTGCAAGACCAGCTATGAATTTGGCCACTTGTCTTGAGAAAATATTTCTCCAGAGAGTCATACGCTTTTTTTTGGTCCATACCAACCAAACTAGCAATGAGATGATGGTATTTTTCAAAAGCAGCTCCTGCTAACATATATTTTGCTAAGAAAATGTGCAGGCTGCAAAGAAGCCCGTGTCTCTTCAACCTTCTTAAGGCATCTCTGTCTCTGACCTGGTCTTCCTACCTGCCTGCAATTCCTCCTGCCTGCTCCTGGGCTTCTCATGGGCTGGCCATTTATTATTCCAAAGTCAAATTCTTCCTCTATCAGCTAAAGATGATCTAATGATAGAGAGAATGTGGGGAATCTTTTTAAAGGCAGCAATCTAAAGCCGTACAGACAAGCTTCCAACCTTTGGTCTTCCTACCATTTATGGTAGGTTCCAGCACTACCCTATGCCTCCTTATTTCTTATATCTCAATTCATTTTCAGATCTCCAGTGTCACTTCTATGATAGCGGTCACCCCAAATCACTTTAGAGCAGAGGAAGAAAGAATTGGCCTCAGTGCTAGTCTGTTTTTCCACCCTACTTGACTTGCAACCTTCAACCTTTACATACAGTATCTGATTACTGAACTTGTCCCTCTGAATTCAGGGACTTGGTCCCAAATTCCATTACTCCAATGAACCTCTCTTGGTCCAGACCCAAGGATGGAGACCTGTATGCTGTTCTTGCTAACTTTACAAACAGTCTAGGATCATCACCAAAGTCTTCAGGAAATTCAAGTCATTTACTCACGCTCCTGCCATCCTCTCTGGGTTTACTCTTTGGAAACATTTCTTAACTACTTTTGCAGATTGAATTGAAGC